AGTCTACAAAATAAATATATTAAAAATTGAATAAGCATGAATCGATTAAGTGGCATATTATTTATATTTATTAGCATTATTATAGTTGTTGTTATTGCTCTGTCATCGATGATAACACAAAACAAACTATATAAAAGAAATCTTTGTATTATTTACGTGGCCATCCACGTGGTATTGCGGGAACTATTTGTTAGATATAATAGTTTTAAATATATTTATTAAAGGTCGTTTGGTCTTTTCAATTGCTAGGTTTATGTCTAGGGTTTTACACATTATTTCAAGTTTCTTGGTATCGAACAATGACTCTTTGCTTAACATGGTAAAAGAGTAAGTTTGGATCATGGCCTAGACTTGCAACTGCTTCTGTTTTCTGGCAATATGTGCCTCTCTGCAGGCCAATTGTTTCTTTTGAAATCTTGTTCGTTTATAAATTTTATTTTTGGTTTAGGTTGGCCTCTCTTCAGAATAATATGACTCTTTTCTTAACATGGAAATAGAGTAAGTTTGGATCTTGGCCTAGATTTGCAACTGCTTCTGTTTTCCGGCAATACGTGCCTCTCTTCAGGCCAATCGTTTCTTTTGACATCTTGTTCGTTTATCATTTTTATTTTTGGTTTATGTTGGCCTTATTTTTTTATTATTTTTTTTAATCTGATTTTTGTTTCCAGATGTGAGTTATGGCTTGCTGTGTTGGTGGGTTTAGTCTAGTTTGGTGTAGAGGCAGTAAAACAAGCCTTTTCCTTCTGTTCTTGTTGTCTGGTGGCTGCCATTGTTGCAAATTTCTAGTATTTGGGTTGTCTTGATGTGCCCTAGCATTTAGCCCTTCATTGCGTTCTCCCACTCTTAGAAAATTTTGTTTGTTTTTCTCTTTTTTCCATGTTCTTTGCCCTCCCATCCTTTGTTTGATGTCTCTTGCTAATATGGATTTTCTTTCTGGCAGCCCTTGTACTGTTAGGCCGATTTGACAATGAGGAGTTAGGCTTGTGATGTGTCTCAATTAGAGCAGATTGACTGTAGCCCTGACGTATAAATGACATGTAATTCGTACAGGAGATAGCAAATCTTACATTGTTTCGCCAGTTTAGCCGCAGTGAGTTCAGCCAATGGACATGGACACATAAACGTTTTGAAGATTACACAAAGTCTTATGCTCGATCGTTTTCCTTTTGGCAAACTCTCGATGCTTAACATCGTGACTTTGACAGGGGTGTTAGACATAACAGCTATGAAGTATGTTAGTGAAGGGGAGTTTGGTCCTTTCCATTGCTAGGGTTACCACCTAGGGTTTTACACATTATTTACAGTTTCTATAACAAAACAA